GTAATTACTTAAGGTCTCGAAAATGACCCTTGGATAGGAAAGCAGAATTTCATCAAACATCTAGGGAGTGAAATCCTCAAACATCAAATAGCAGGCAAACACCTCTATAGGTTACTGAGATATCAAAGGCAAAATTGCCAAAGGCTATCTCTGATTTCATGTTATTACTATGTATATACTTTGTGTAATTGACTCATTTCCATGGGAAAACAAAATAAATATATAACTTTAAAAAACACTAGTTTGGAAAAATATACACCTTATTTACCCGTCTTTTGATTAAGTTTTCTTCAGAAGAAATTAAGAGCTAGGCTTCAGCCTGTTTCAGAAGTGGTGTGATTTTTTTCCCAGGGGAGCTTGGATTGGCATCTTCCAATGCATCTGTGCAACTGGGACTCAATTCAGTACCCTTGGCTTCCAGTCCCTGCTGTCATTCAAGGCAGCAGGACAGAGACTACGCTTACCAGAGTCTTTGGGCCAGTGACCTCTAGCCATGAGTAGCCTGTTCCATTTACCCAAGAGCACTGTACAGAATGATCTTTTCCCATGTGTTCTATAATATGAAAAGGTTGGGAAACAGTGGGTTAAATTGGTTAATATATTTATCCAAAAACTGCTTTGAAGGCCTACTATGTGAAGCTGGGAATACATGCAGGAATATAGAGATGAATAAAACTCTTGTCTCAATAGTCTGAGTGACACATAGTTTCTAAAATTATGTCATGTATTCCTGTTACTACAACATGGCCAATTTGAAAAAAAAAAGTAATTATATGAATGAAGAGAGAGAGTAGAGATGGCTGAGTGTGGAAGCTATAGAATATTGGGGTTTATAAAATGATACATTTTAGTTCTTACTACAACTCACTATAATCTTTTATCTCTTGAGGATACATTTCTATTTTTGCTTTCCTTTCACTGGCTATTTTTCAAGCAATGTTTCTTCTTATTACTTTCATACAGGTTTTAAGTTAAAATGCTATTTTAATAAAAAACAAAGATATCTATTTTTTTAGTTATTAAAAATAATCAGAAGTTAATTCAAATATTGCATTGTTTTGTTGTTCAGTCGCTAAGTTGTGTCCAACTCTTTTATGACCCTATGGACTGTAGCCCGCCAAGCTCCTCTGTCCATGGAATTTCCCAGGCAAGAATACTGGAGTGGTTGCCATTTCCTCCTCCAGGGGATCTTCCCGACCCAGGGATCGAACCTGTGTCTCCTGCATTGGCAGGTGAAATCTTTACCAATGTGCCACCGAGGAGGCCCCAATTTATATACTGAATGGCTCAAAACTTAACCATATAATATCAGTATTGTTACAAATAGATTAAATATTACAAAAGTTATATTTTTAAAAAATATATATTTGGCTGCAGCGGGTTTTAGTTGTGGCACGTAGGATCTTTGATCTTTGTTGAGGCATGCAAGATCTTTAGTTGCAGCATGTGAACTCTTAGATGTGGCATGTGGGATCCAGTTCCCTGACCAGAGATGGAACCTGGGCTCCCTGCTTTGGGAGTGGGGAATCCCAGCCACTGGGCCACCATGTGTGCTCAATAGCTCAGTCATGTCTGATTCTTTGTGACCTTGTGGATTGTAGCCTGCCAGGCTCTGCTGTCCAAATATGACTCCGCTACCAGCTGGAAGATCCCCCTCTGTCCATGGAATTTCCCAGGCAAGAACACTGGAGTGGGTTGCCATTTCCTTCTCCAGGGATCTTCCCGACCCAGGGATCAAACCTGTGTCTGCAATCTTTACCAATGAGCCACCGAGGAAGCCCCAATTTATATACTGAATGGCTCAAAACTTAACCATATAATATCAGTATTGTTACAAATAGATTAAATATCACAAAAGATATATTTTTTAAAAAATATTTATTTGGCTGCAGCGGGTTTTAGTTGTGGCATGTAGGATCTTTGATCTTTGTTGAGGCATGCAAGATCTTTAGTTGCAGCATGTGAACTCTTAGTTGTGGCGTGTGGGATCCAGTTCCCTGACCAGAGATGGAACCTGGGCTCCCTGCTTTGGGAGTGGGGAGTCCCAGCCACTGGGCCACCATGTGTGCTCAATAGCTCAGTCATGTCTGATTCTTTGTGACCTTGTGGATTGTAGCCTGCCAGGCTCTGCTGTCCATGGGATTTCCCAGGTAAGAATTCTGGAGTGGGTCGCTATGCTCTCCTCCAGGGGATCTTCCTGACCCAGGGACTAAACCCATGTCTCCTGCATAGCAGGTGGATTCTTTACCACTGACCCACATGGGACACCTAGCAGGTAACCACAAATAAATGAATGGGGTTATAACCTAAATGATAAGATGGTCCTTAGCATCTCCATATAATATTAATAGATATTAATAGAAAACTGCTACTGTGCAAATACATACTCAGAGCCTCTGTTTAGCTTCTTCAGCTGTTCTCAGCCCTGTATGGTTCTCTCTAAGAGAGATATGATGCTTGGCAACCATAGCAGATACAAAAGAATAATAAAATTTGAAACAGATTGTGAAGTCTAAAATGAAAATGTGGCAGCTCTACATGAACATCTTTCCAGACAATTAAAAGAGCACACATGTTTGTATTTTTACACATCCATCGAAAAACTGAAAACAGTTGAAAGTACTTCTGACAAAATAATATTTCTTAACTATCAAAAATAGGCTTTAAATGTATACATTTGATTTAAAGATACTTGTATTATAATTCTGAGTATGAACTTCTTTTATTGACAATTCTAGTTTGGTCCAGTTCAGTCACTCAGTCATGTCCAACTCTTTGTGACCCCATGGATCACCAGGCCTCCCTGTCCATCACCAACTCCCAGAGCTTACTCAAACTCATGTCCATTGTGTCGGTGATGCCATCCAACCATTTCATCCTCTGTCATCCCCTTCTCCTCCCGCCTTCAATCTTTCCCAGCATCAGACTGGCAATCAGTTCTAGTAGATAAGGATTTTATTATGTTTAGCAATAACATTCTCAAAAATATATAGTGATAAAGGATCTGGTTTCTCTTTCTTATCATGGTTTATTATAAGATTCTTAACATATGTTGATCCCCAAAGTTATGTTGAATCTATAGTCATCTCCTGCTTGATGCCAATGACATGTTCATGAAAATCTGATGCTCTGCACAATAATACTTACTGGTAGACTATTCCCATTTATTTTAAAATGTGAAATACTTTAAGGTGTTTCTTTCCCACCCATAGTCCCCACTCTGTTTACTAACAGGTAAATAAGACAAAGTAAACTGCTTATGTGTGAGTTATATGCAAATCATGCTAAGAAGTAAAATAATTTAGCTATCAATCATCTATCACAGTTAATATATTGGTTTCCATACAGTTGTTTACATGTTTAGAAACATACTATATATTTCCTATGTTGATGCTTACCTGGTTTCCAAAAGGTCTATTTGTGATTTTGATGGTCAAACAATTGTATTTGGAAGGTGATTAGAGATATTTCCCACACATTATTTTGTTTAAAAATGTAGTGAGTTTGAGGCATTACATTTTTTATTTGCAAGCATCAGCCAAAATTATTATCTTGAAAAATATGTACATTCCATGAAGTTTTGGTACTCTAAACAAAAAGGAGTTCTAGAAAGAAAATGCTAACTGGAAGGTATTCTGGAGCATATGCATATATTTGCTCATGTACTTTTCAGTCTCTAGCAATTAGCCATTATTTTTCCCTTTTGTGGATAGGAAAGTTAAGGTCCAGAGAGCTTGAGTGACTTGTCAAAGGTCTCTTATATGATGAAATTGTCTATAAATCTTTTTATTGAATTTTGCTAAATTTTATTATTTAGATAATTTGCTTTGATAACTTCAAGAATCCAGAGCCAGCTAAGTTATTCCTTTAAATAAAAAATCTTTTTTTCTCCAATGTCTCTCCTAGCATTTAATTTCTTGTGAATATTGCATAAATATTTGCTTAATACTAAGCAAACATTGCTAGGAGCTTCCCGGTGGCTCAGATGGGAAAGAATCCACCTTCTGTGTGGGAGACCTGGGTTTGATCCCTGGGTTGGGAAGATTCTCTGGAGAAGGAAACGCTAACCCACTCCAGTATTCTTGCCTGAAAAATCCCCATAGACAGAGGTGCCTGACAGGCTAGAGTCCATGGGGTCACAAAGAGTCAGACATGACTGAGTGACTAAGCACATAGCACTATTTATGTGTTCAATTGCTATGATTGTTTCTCACTTCAAAAGGAGAATAAATGGTAACTCTGGTTTGCCCAGTTAAAAGAAAGAATAGCAACTTTGCCTTCTAGATTTAGTGCTGTACTTCCTGTATCTAAATTATATCTAGTGCATTTATGTCTATGATGGCTCAGTGATAAAGAACCTGCCTGGCAGTGCAACAGACATGGGTTTGATCTTTAGGTTGGGAAGACCCCTTGGAGAAATAAATGGCAACCTGCTCCAGTATTCTTGCCTGGGAAATCCTGTGGACGGATGAGCCTGGTGGGCCACAGTCCATGGGGTCGCAAAAGAGTTGGACGTGACTTAGAGATTAAACAACAACAACAATATCCATGTATTCACATTCAATTCCCTATCTTTTAAAAGTATTTTCCAAAGTAAGCTATTAATATTTTACATTCTCAACAATTTTTTCTCTTTTTCTTGTACCTTATCATCTTTATTTTTGTACTATCATCACAAATAATATTACCTTATTTAGTGACAAATGAAGATTTTTGTTTTTTTTTTTTAATTGCTTAGTTTGGGTGCAGTTCAATAATTTACATCAAAATGATTACTCAGAAAGTTGTTCCTGTTAACATTATCTCTCTGAACCAAAGACATCATTCTATTATTCTATTTTCAGAAACTCACTTATCTAGGTTTGTGTTGGAAACCATGATTACATAGTGGAAGGCCAGTGTGAGTCTTTCAATTAGTATTGCTTTTCGTCAGATAACCAGAGCACAATGTCTTAGATTATTAATATTGTTGGTGACTTTAAGCACATTTCTCTCTCTAGGTACCTGAAATACTCAAAACAATTGGGTGATTTTTACTGACTTGCTAGCAGCTAACTAGGTAAGTGTATTAGAATAGTATTTCTGCATTCTTTAGAAATGGAGAGATTCAAATTCGTTTTCACTTCAACCTTTTCTTTTCATTCATAAAGCTGAGAGGTTCCTAAATGTGTTTTCAGTATGGTAACTTATAGTGAAATAATACAATGTCTTTCTCTTTTGTCAAAATTTCTGGAATTTTTACTTTTTCATATGACCCTAAAATCTAACCCTATCCTTCCTCATATAGAGAATAGTTGGGTTTTTTGGGGGGTTTTTTTTGGTGACTTTTTAGTGCTTTTCAATATCAAACTCTGACAAAGACCTGACAGTTTATTTTTAAAATTTTTTGAATTATAGTTGATATACAATATTCTATGTCAGTCTAGAGAAGGAAGTGGCAGCCCACTCCAGTATTCTTGCCTGGGAAATCTCATGGGCAGAGAAGCCTGATGGGCTGCAGTCCATGTGGTCACAAAAGAGTCAGACATGATTTAGCGACTGAACACAACAAATTATATGTTAGTGATGTAAAATATAGTGATTCATATATTTAAATGTTTTATTCTATTTATAGTTACTATAAGATATTTGCGATGGTCCCTGTATTGTACAAAGTATCCTTGTAGCTTATTTTACACCAAATAGTTTTTACTTCTTAATTCCCTCCCCCAATGCCCTTCCCCGCTTCCCTCTCAAGACCTATAACCACTACTTTGGAGAACTGGCAGTTTATTTTTAACTTCAGAAACAACTTTAGTTTAATATTATTTTACATTTCAGGAAGTTTCACCAGTGCTTTCTTTGCAAAAAAAAATTTTTTTTTTTTATATGCACTCAAGAAATCTGTCATTTGATTCTTTGGCTCATGTTTTTTGTCTTTTGCATCTGTGCCAATCTGTGTCCTTCTTTCAGTGTTAAATATCCCCAATTAATACATCAGCTGTGTGGCCTGATAGTCAGATGAAATTTCTTAGAATCATTTTTCCTAGGCTTTCTAGGCATAAATCATCTTTATTTGTTTGAGTGGAAAATTTCATTAAAATGAATTGTTTTAATTTAAAGAAGATTATTTAAATTGGTGAGTTAGAATTTTGACAGTCACAATGAATCAATGCATATGGACTCTGTATTAATATAATTTCCCTGTTTTCTTGACCTTTATTTTCATTTATTCAACTGAACAAATATTTTTGAGTGCTAATCCAAAAACTAGTGCTTAGACAGTGTAGGAGATTAAGAAATGAAACATAAATTCTACCCTCTGGGAACTCTTTGCTTAGAGGAAAATGAGGTTTATATGAGTAGAATGTAAACATTAAATTGCTGTCCCAGAAATGTAGATAAAAGTGGAATAATGATACTCTTTTTAAGAGTGTGATCTTTACTTTCAACTAAGTAGTTGTGTTAGCTAAGGTAATGCTAGGCGCTGCAACAAATGGTTGCAGGAACCTCAGTGTCTCAACACAGTAAATGTTTCTCTCTTACAGAGTCTGATTAGTATAAGGGTGAGGTGGCATTTGGGATTCTGCTCCTTCCATCACTAAAGGTTCCAGACTTCTTCAATATGGGGATTTCAAGGTCCCTGGAGATTGATATCCAAAAGGAAGACACGGGAAAAAAGAGCATATATAATATGGGTGTTGTTATGGGCCTGACCTGGGCGTGGTATACACCACACTACACTTTGTTGCCAGTGTTACTGGTTGAATTGTACCCCTCTAAAGTTCACATGGTGAATCCTAACCCCTACTACCTCTAAAGGTAATCTTATTTGGAAGTAGGGTCATTGTATTATGGATATAGTTAACTAATCCAGCATGACTGATGTCTCCAAAAGAGGGAATTTGGAGACAGATAGAGACCCAGGGGGAATACCATGTCAACATGAGTTCAGACATTAGAGATGAAGAGTAATGCTGCTACAAGTCAAAGAATGCCAGAGATTGTTCTAACCAGCAGAACTAAAAGAAAGGCCTGAAAGGCCTTCTCCCTCCCAGCCCATAGGAGGAACCAACCCTGTCACCACCTTGGCCTTGGACTTCCAGCCTCTAGAACTGGGAGACGATAAATTTACTGTTGGTTAAGCCACCCTGTTTGTGACCAAATCTAAAAGCAAGGGATCTGGAAACTGTAAGCTAGCTGTTTACCTGGGAGGAGAGGGGATAGTTTCGATGAACAACTAAGTGGTCTCTGCCACAGTCTGCCTTTCTGCCCACCTCATACCCATTGCACACTTCCTCCCTTGGATGGAACTTACTCACACACTCTCCAAGAGAGACAACAGAAACTTCTTTCCCATCACTGCAGCAAGCTGGTAGTCCAGGGTCTCAAGGAATTTGATGGTGTTTCTTCGTGAGCAATGCTCTTTTTTAAGTATTTCTGGAAAGGATATATAAAGATTTTGGACAACCAAATCATTTGCTGCTGCTTTTCTTTGTGTGTGTGTGTGATTTCAAATTTTTATTTATTTATTTTTAATTGGAGGATAATTACCTTACAATATTGTGTTAATTTCTGCTACACATCAACATGAATTACCCATAGGTATACATATGTGACCTCCCTCTTAACAATCCCACTACTAGGCGTATATCCTTAGGAAATCATAATTGAAAAAGACATGTACCCCCATGTTCATTGCAACAGTATTTACAATAGCTAGGACATGGAAGCAACCTAGATGTTCATCGACAGATGAATGGATAAAGGAGTTGTGGTACATATATGCAATGGAATATTACTCAGCCATAAAAAGGAACACATTTGAGTCAGTTCCAGTGAGGTGGATGGACCCAGAGCCTATTATACCGAGTTAAGTATGTCATAAAGAGGAAAAAAAAATCATACATTAATGCATAGACATGGAATCTAGAAAGATGGTACTGATGAACCTATTGGCAGGGTAGCAGTGGAGACACAGACATGAGAACAGACTTGTGCACACGGTGGGGAAAGGAGGGGGTGGGATGAATTGAGGGAGCAGCACTGAAACATTTATAATACCATATGTAAGACAGGTAGCCAGTGGGAATTTGCCGTGTGATCAAGAGAGTACACCAGCTATTTTAAAAGAGAGAATTTAATACCAAGTATTAATGATTTCTGTTTGAAAAACTGAGTCAAAATAAGGAGTCTAAGAGGTGACAGAAAGTCGTAGCCATCACCATTAGGACATGGGGAGTGAAGAGAAGAGGTTTGAATGATCAATATTTAGAAGGCTAGAGAAGAGGCTCTGTGAAGCTGAAATGTAGAATTGATAAAAGAGATGCTAGCCAACCACTGCTATACTTGGAGGGGGGCCCATAGGGCTTGGACCCCAAAACCTCTGAGCAAGCGTTACTATTCACCTGGTAATGATGCCTCTGTGGAGCTGCAGTGAAACTGGTTCTGTGCGGGTTAGAGGAAATTACAAAATAGACTCAGCTCCTGCTACTGAAATGGGCTGCCACTGCCAGTGTGAGAAAGTGAGGCTGGTGTGGCACAGAGAGAAACAAGAATAATCAGTGTCCCTTTTTCCATTTCCAACCTCCTAGGCGCCTCCAAGTATCCCCTGGGGGCACAGCATTGCCAGGGAACCAGCTGGTAAAGCAGTGGTTTTCAGAGTCTCAGGGCAACATCACAAAGCAGATACAAGGGGCTGGGTTAGAAGCCGATGGACAGGACACCTACACAGCTCTCAATGGTGGAGCAGACACAAAACCACTACAGTAAAATCACCCATTCAGGAAGGAGAAGAATGGGAGACACATAGCAGTCACTGGTTCATAACCAGTGAGACAGTTCAATCAGTAGGCAGAATTCATGAAGATGCTGCACCTTAGGAATGAGGGAAATTTCTTAATTAGACTCCTGTTATTCAATCTTGACTGTGCATTTGTGTTGGCAGTTTTCAACACTGTCCTCAGATGATTTATTTAGTAGAAGGAATAATGGGAGTCAGGATGTCATCGTACTCATGGCTATGATTTACTACAGTGAAAGGCTATGAAGCCGAGTCAGCAAAGAAACAAGGCATATGGTGTATGGTCTGGAGGAAACCAGGTGAAGCTTCCAAGAACCCTTTTGATTCACACAGGATGCACTTAACCCCTGCAGCAAGCTGTGATAATCCATGTGAAACGTTGTATAGCAGGGAAGCTCATTAGAGACTAATTGGCTGGGATTTTCACTGGGGACTGGTCATGTGGGCACCTTCTGCCTAGCACGTACCAAAATTTCAGTCTCCCAGAAGGAAAGCAGGTATTTAGCACAAGCCATATAATTTCACAAATATTTTGGGCACAGCATGCCATTCTTATGGGTTTCCCAGGTGGTGCTATTGGTAAAGAATCTGCCTGCCAATGCAGGAGACATAAGAAATGCAGGTCTGATCTCTGGGTCAAGAAGATTCCCTGGAAGAGGGCATGGCAACCCACTCCAGTATTCGTGCCTGGAGAATTCCGTGAACAGAGGAGCCTGGTGGACTACAGTCCATATGGTCATAAAGAGTTGGACACAACTGAAGCAACAACAACACACACACACACACACACACACACACACACCATTCTTATGGTGAAAAGAATCCTCTTGAAATCTGTTTTCAAACACCAGCCTGGGACCAAATTTGCAAGCAGGCTTTTCTAATTGTAGCAACCTCTGTCTTGCTGTTTTAACTCTTTTCTGCACACCACTGCTCTCTAGATTCATGGTCTGCTCAGTGGAGGTGTTCAGTGTGTATGCCTTCCAAGTAACCACATATGAGAGTTTATTTTTTTTTATATTGCATATACATATAAGCAGGTTCTCTGATAACAATTTCTTCTCATCCTATCACCCATCCAACAAGCAGGGTCTCGTGTTTTAGGCTATTATTTGGCAGTGCCCCTCTCCCTTTTTAGAGGTTTGGTAGCTCAGCTGCTAAAGAATCTGCCTGAAAAGAGATCCTGGTTTGATTCCAGTGTTGGAAAGATCCCCTGGAGGAGGAATAGGCTACCAACTCCAATATTCTGGCCTGGAGAATTCCGTGGATTGTATAGTCCATGGGGTCACAAAGAGTCGCACAGGACTGAGTGACTTTCACTTCTCTGGTGGCTCAGTGGTAAAGAATTCACCTGCGATACAGGAGATGTGGGTTTGACCCGTGGGTTGGGAAGATCCCCTGGAGAAAGAAAAGGCAACTCACACCAGTATTCTTTCCTGGGAATCCCATGGCAGAGGAGCCTTGCAGGCTACAGTCAATGGGGTTGGAAAGAGTCAGACACAACTAAGTAACAAAACTACTACACCACCTCTCCTTTTTTAAACCAAGTTTTGTATTGATATCTGTTGGTATCTATGAGGAAAACGGAAACAACTTGAAATGTTTCAAGCAAGAAGGTATATTTCTAGAACAGTATTTAATAACAATGGATTTCTCTGGCAATCCAGTGCTTGGAACTTCACCTTCTAATATGCAGAGGGTATGGGTTCAATTCCTGGTCAGTCAGCAAAGATCATACATGCCTTGCAGCCAAAAAACTGCAACATAAAGCAGAAGCAACATAGTAACAAATTCAATAAAAATTTTGCAAATGGTCTACATCAAAAAATCTTCAAAACAAAACAGAATGTTAGGGGCTTATAGGAAAGGCAGTAGGATTTAATGTCAGAAAGTGGGAAATTTTCTGATGGTCCGGTGCTTAACAACCTACCTTCAATGCAGTGCATATGGGTTCCGTATCTGGTCTGGGGAACTAAGACACCACATGACTTGTGGCAACTAAGGCCTAATGCCCTGATTACTGACCCCACGCTCTGGAGCCCATACTTCATGCTGCAATGAAGACCCAACCCATTCAGCCAAAATTTAAAAGTAATTTGTATAAATGGAGACCAAAAGTAAGCAAGAGTAGCAATACTCATAGCAGATAAAAGAGACTTTGAAATGAAGACCGTGAGAAGAGACAAAGAAGGACACTACATAATGATCAAAGGAAAATCCAATAAGAACATATAACAACTATAAATACATATGCACCCAACATAGGAGCACCTCAATACATAAGGCATGTGCAAACAAGTATGAAAAGGGAAATTAACAGTAATGCAATAGTAGTAGGAGACTTTAATACTCCACTCACACCTATGGATAGATCAACCAAACAGAAAATTAGCAAGGAAACACAACCTTTAAATGACACAATGGACTAGTTAGACCTAATTGATATATATAGGACATTTCAACCCAAAACAATGATTTTCAACTTCTCTCAGGTGCACACAGAACATTCTCCAGGAGTGATCACATCCTGGGCCATAAATCTAGCCTTGGTAAATTAAAAAAAAATTGAAATCATTTCAAGCATCTTTTCTGATCACAATGCAGTAAGATTCAGTTCAGTTCAGTTCAGTGGCTAAGTTGTGTCCCACTCTTTGAGACCCCATGAACCACAGCACACCAGGCTGCCCTGTCCATCACCAACTGCCGGAGTCTACCCAAACCCTTGTCTACTGAACCGGTGATGCCATCCAAATGTCCCATCCTCTGTTTTCCCCTTCTCCTCCTGCCCTCAATCTTTCCCAGCATCTGGGTCTTTTCAAATGAGTCAGCTCTTCACATCAGGTGGCTACAGTATTGGAGTTTCAGCTTCAACATCAGTCCTAGCAATGAACACCCAGGACTGATCTCCTTTAGGATGGACTGGTTGGATCTCCTTGCAGTTCAAGGGATTCTCAAGAGTCTTCTCCAACATCACAGTTCAAAAGAATCAATTCTTTGGTGCTCAGGTTTCTTTATAGTCCAACTCTCACA